TGTTATACTTAAACTAAGTTACTTTTTTCTGTTTTAAATACTAATTAAAATTATAAAGCCCACTCACTAAACATCATCAGCATTATTGTGAAGCAGTTCTGCTTTTTCCTCCTATAGTAATTTAACGTTTTTAGTTAATTTCTATTTAGCTAATTGAATTTCTACATTAACTCAATGATTTAATTATTTCATTTGTTCATCTTACTAAGAAAAATTGTTTTAAATGTGTTAAACTTTTCAAACTACGCGAAGCATAAAACAGTTATTGAAAAAACTTTTTTATTAATAAATAAATCACCTAGCATTAGTTTTATTGGTTGAATTTTGTTGGACTTTTCAGGGCAGGGGAATGCATTATTTTGGCGGCCTTTTTTATGTGCCACAGTGTAAAAATGACTGAAAAAATTCCGAATGGTCCTCTTGACTATTTCGTGAGTCCCGAGGCTATAGCCCCTCTTCTTCCCCCCCCCCCTATCTCCTCAATCCAGCACTGGAAATATGACATAAGTATATAAATAAAAATTATGTATACTCTTTGATAAATCGGAGAACATTTGTTTCTTTATTAAACAAACATTAATAGTAAGTTGTTACTTTATATAAAAAATGTCACTCAATTTTATAAAAAAAATTATAAAAGAGCGATGTTTCAAAAATATTTGGTCAAATCGTATTTATCTATGCCTAAAGTTTTTTCGCGTTAAAAACTATTTTTTTTTTTTTTTAACTGTCTCTCATCGGTCCAGTTAAACTGCGCTTTTTTGTTTGTTTTTGAAATATTCTCAAAACGACTAATAAATCTGGCCAGTTTTTCGCAACTAAATATTATTTTCGTGGTCAATTATTGAGTGCAATTGCACCCGCTTCCCGACCATATACATATTAGAGCATTTTATATATTCCACCCTATCAGTAATCAAATTTTTCAAAAAATAGAGTTAAGTCCATAAAAAGAAGTTTTATTTTAATATATTCATATATATATATATATATATATATATATATATATATATATATAGATATATATATATATTTTATTTATATATATATAAATATATATATATATATATATACCAATATTTATATATACAAATATATATATATATAGTATATATACATTTTTTTTTTTTTTATTTATATATATATAAATATATATATATATATATATATATATATATATATATATATATATATATATATATATATAGTATATATATATATATATATATATATATATATAAATATATACCAATATTTATATATACAAATATATATATATACAAATTATATATATATATATATATATATATATATATATATATATATATATATATATATATATATATATATATATATATATATATATATATATATATATCTTTAATAAAGGGCTGAGATATACAGTTTGTGGTAAAAATTGGCTCTTCGCTTGTTTGTGGTACTAAAGCTCACAAAATTAAGGTTAGATCATCTCAAAACGCATTAATTTAATTGCGGGAAGAATTCAATGCAAATTTTAACCTTGCTGCTGAGAAGTTAGTAGACATAAATTTTGATGTTTGGATTGCCAACAAATCATCAGATGGGGACATCATTCCAGAAGTTTCTGGACATGATACCACAAAAACTAAAGCAGAACCCAATAAACACATTGACGTTTGCAAAGATGCTACAAAACCAAGCTTGAATAAAGAAATGTATCTATCTCTGTATTTGAGAATTCTTTCTTCTAACTTTTTAGACGATATTCACTTTTTTCTATTATTTTGACCAGAATATTTAAAAAACAATTAACTTTCTATAATTCAAAAATTTCTCTAACTTGAACTTTTATTTTCAATTAATCAATATATTTTCTCTTTAATAACTGCATACTGAAGAACAATTAAAATAAAAAACTGTTGAGGCATAAAGACCTACATATGATTTGAAACAACTATTGAAAACAATGGTATTAAAAAAATGGTATAATAAAATAATAAAAATATAGGTGTTAATTATTAAAATAATGACCAAAACAATAACAACACAAGGACATAAAAGTAGCAGTTTTGGGGAGTGCCATAAAGAAGAGACTACATATTCATTGAATTCAGTCACTCCAAAACACACACTTACAAAGACATACACATGTATAAATATATATATATATATATATTATATATATATATATATATATATATATATATATATATATATATTATATATATATATATATATATACACATATATACATACATATTTGTTCAATTACATGTATATATGCATGTAAATAAACACAAATAGACAAGTAAATATATTAATACGTACATACATATATACATATACTTACATGTATACATATATATATAAATAAAATCCTTATATGTATATATTAACACAATTACATTAATACACGCATATAAATATGTGCATATATGGAACAGAAGAATTAGAAATAGAAGAAAAGATAAATCAATGGGTTTAAAAATAAGGGATTTTCTTTATAAAATTTGAATTA